TAAATACTTAGTAAATGCTTATTGGCCTAAGGTATATTGGGATGTAATTATAAGTACTTATTTACTTAAAAAATATTTAAAAATTAAATATATTATAATTTAAAATTTAAAGTACTTTAATATATTAATTTTAAGTACCTATTTAATATTGCTGTTTAGCGGGCCTAGGGTTGTGTTTCATTCACCTTTCTGATGTATGGTATACATTTATAATCTTCAAATGCCAAGTTTAGAGATATATTTTACAGAACATGCTAATTTTTTTCATTGATTTATTATAGTCTTAGAGATTATAATAAAATTATTAAAATTATATCTTATAATAATTTTATATTACTTAAAATAATCCTATAATGATCTTATAATAGTCTTCATCAGAAAGGTGAATGAAACATGACCCTAGGCCCGTTAAACAGCAATATTAAATAAGTACTTAAATTTAATATTATTAAAGTACTTTAAATTTTAAATTATATTAAATTTTAAATTTATAATATATTTAATTTTTAAATATTTTTTAAATACTTTAAAATAAGTACTTATAATTACATCCCAACATACCTTAGGCCTAATAAGCATTTACTAGATATTTAGCAAATACTTGACAAGTATTTTTTAAATGCTTTGACAAACTTTGTGATGTTATTGTAAAATATGGAATTATAAAAAAATGCCAAAAAATAAGAAATATCTTACTAGAAATAAAATACTGTATAACACAATTGTATCTATTTTGGTTAATATATATGCTCATAACGTTTTGATAAATCTTTTATTTCGGGACAAATACTTTATATTAATCCGAAAAAGTAAAATTATATGCACAACCATTAAAGATAAATAAATTCTTACATTAATGATTTATTTCAATATCTAATACCGAGCAATATCTAATACCGAATAAATAAAAAAAAACATTGTAAGGATCTTAAAACTATTTATCAATTGAAACCAATTTTTATATTCTATTTTCTAGATGAATTCTTTTTTATGTTATCAATAATGGACCACCCAATCACAGGAGAAACAACAGATTCACTAATTGAATCTTCGAGAATGTCTTGATTAGCACCAAAAAATCCAGCTGCAAATTTTAAATTTAATCCAATATCCGTGGTAAAAGGAACCTCAATAATACCATTAGGAATATCAGAAAGTTCTAACCTATCGTGCTGTATAGGATATCCTGATCGATTATAAGGAAAGAAAGCCAACATCCATCCTGTAATATAAGTACCACCACCAGAACCAAATACCTTATCTATTTTTACAATTCTACCCCAAAAATCTTCATCGACTTCACCAAGATAAGTTGCTATTAAATTCCAAATTACAGGTTCAAGACGATCCAACCAAAAATCTAAATCTAAATTCAATTTTCTTAATTTAACAACTTTTTCTTGAAGCTTTGCCCAATCTTGAAGTGTTCCTTCAAGTGTAATTTTTGGAATTCCACATCGAAAACGTAATTTATAATTAAAGTAAGACTTAACCATATCTAATAATACAATACGACTCGCTGTTAAAGAACTTGAAGTTGTTGTTGAAAAATTACATTCTAATAATTCTTTCAAATCTATTCTTTCTATACGCTCATCAGTTTTCGTAACAAGTCTGTTTACAGCTTCTGGCCAATTTCCATCAAGAGTAACTTTGGATATGATATCTCCAATAAAAACTGAAATTAATTCCTTTCCTTTGTGTTTAACAAATTTATTACGAAATTTTTCAGAATTATAATTAATATGACGACTAACACCTTGAGAAATTGTAAGCCAAATATCATCAGGGCTTAAACGTAAATGTTTATGATAATTATAGGCATGGAAAATGGCAGCAGCAAAACCATTAGAACAGTAAGGTCGTTTAAGAACAGTTTTTTCGGAACTTTCATCATCGTATTGGAAGGAAACT